TATTATTTAAAAATAATTACTAAACGGTCACTATACAAATGCTAAAAGGTCAGTAGTATATGTATTAATTAGGCTAATTAATTCATCACTGATTTCCCGAAACAATTAGATATGTTGAAATGTTAATATCATAAATAATAAATTCGAAAAACAAAACAAATTAAAAGAAGTATTAGATAAAAGTATAAGTATACATTTCAAATTCTTATCGAAATACACCGACACCTTTTGTGTTCAAAATGAAAATGAATTTTAATGTCCATTATGTCTTCGAAGTTTGTTTATAATTACGTTAAAATCCTCTCTTCGAAACACCCCAAGAAAGTTTTCTACAGATTATTTTCAATAACTTTTTTCGTACTTACCAAGTCAGTAACGATTATTATTAAAAGCTTTTCTTTTTGATGAAGCGAGCGCACCCAGCAAAACTTTTGAAAAGTTTATTAGTTCAATGAGCACGTCGTCGAGTGACGATGGTCGCGATTTTTCGCGATATCGACAGGGTAAGTTACCCTCCCACGCATCAGAGTAGCTAGATAACGGAGAAATACTGGAGTCGCAACAGCCGACAGAATACAAGTAGACGTTGGGTTGCGACGTCGAGGACGGACGCGTCGTAGCGCACCAATTCACAGGCACGGTTCCGAAGGAGAGACATCATACACACTCTCGGGATCGGCGCAATCTCATCAGGAACAAACCGCGAAGTGTAACCGTACAACAACTTTTCTTGAAAAATTTACTGTTAAATACCTAATTTCTTCCAAATTATAAGCTTCATTTTCTCATGAATAACTCTAGTGGAAAATTCGTATCAAAAAGAGTTTGGAATCATTGAAGCTTTTTTGCCAAAAACTGGACCATTAAATGCATCAAGAACACACTGTAACTAACCCGAAAAAAACAACCGACTTGGGGTTAAAAGTAGGTCAAAAATTGGCAAGAGTAGACAACTTGAATATTAAAGTTGAATCAAATGATTCGATTAGAAGTCGAAAATTAATTGAAGCAGACGGAACTTCACATTATTAGCAGACTACAATAGGCTAATGTCATAGGTATCAAGAATAGAATCGTTAAAGGAATACCAAAAGTAAGACATCTAAACCCGAAAAGTATTATAGATGTTGAAATATGACCGTAATTAACCCCTTTTGAATGTTAAAAACATATAGGTCGATCATTAAAGGCCTATCAAATGTAAGAGGTAGCTCTATTAAGAATCAAAAATTAATTGAAACAATTATAATTAAGACAAGTTATAAGCAAAAGCAAATTGAAGTTAGGTTAATTGGACGCCAAAAATGGGCTGATCAAATGCCAATTAATTTTATCTAAACAATTATACAGTACTAATGTGATATCATATTTACACAATTTGACAATCATCATGTGAATATAAAGATGAACGAATGGAATTATGAGAAAAGAAACGGAAAATGAATATGGACAAAAAAAGGATAAGCAGAACAAGATCGGAAAGAATACAAATGTGTTAGGGAATAGGGAAGAATATGGAATGATGGGACACATGATAGAAATAATAAAATTGGTCTGAGCACATTTTGGTCGGTGCTAATACGACTAACTTCCCATTAGATAATACAGTTATTGTAAAGTACATTCGTTTCTAAAGTTTGAAAAAAACGCGGCACAATAATAAATAACAAACAATGTTTGAGAGTTCGTCATTTTATAAACCCATAAGAAACAGTATTTCGTCTGAGAAAACCGAATTGATAGAGTACTTGCATCAGTCAATTGGTAAATACTATTTTTTATTGTTTATCGATTGTTTATAACAATTCATTTTGTTATAAACAAATTTTTATTATAATATGTTATTATAATATGTTATTCCCTGTCTTGAATAATGATATTTCGTTATTATTGATTCCGTAACTTCATTGTTGTGATTAGATTAGAACGTATTTTAATTAAATTGTTTGTAATTAATTCGTTTTTTTTTTTATAAAAAAAAAACGGCTTGACCGATTTCGTTCAAATTTCTTTCAGATCTTCATTATGATAATATCTTTCGAAAAAATTTTGGTTGAGGGCGATATCTCAATCCGTTCTTGAGATATCGAAAACGAAAAAAATGCTGACATACGAACGTACGTACATACGTACGTACGTACGTACGTACGTACGTACGTACGTACATACACACATCATCAAAAAAATTGGCTAGCATGCTACTAATATGTTAAAACGTGGAAATATAATGAAAATTCCGATTTCACTTTTCGACCCAATTACAATAACTTCCTAATGGGAAGTTAATAAAAGTAGTTGACATTCTGAATATTAAATTTGATGTTTCTATTTCGTATGATGAGTTTTGAAAAATCCTTGGCGATATATAGGTGATGTAAAGTGACGATTTCTCGTCTCGTGTCTTTGAATAGGTCCTTAAAGAACTATATTCGCTAAATCTTTCGCTGAAAGTGATAAAACGATATCTCTCACAGCTCTTAACAACCTTTGAAAGTGGATATTAAAAGCTACTCGTGGTTGACAAGATTAGTAAAAGAAGACGTTGTCAGAGTGTTGATGGCTATCATCACGTCGATTTCTTTAAACCTTACGATCGATATGTTCTGGCATAAAAACCAACATCTTATGAAACGCTAATAACGTCTTATATCTACACAAAAATATAAATTAACATTATAGATTTGTTTAACTATTTATTTACAAATATTTTACATCTTTGCTACATGGTAAAAGAACCAGGTAAATATTTGTGGTTTTTTCTGGTCGAGTACATTATTGAACTGGGCCACACGAAGCAGTTCTGCCCACTACTTTGGAAACCCGCATAGCCCTTGTGTCTTTATTTGAAAATTTGTCTATATAGGTACATCGCAAATTGATACTTGGTGTTGTATTATTATTGTAGTATTGGATTAAGTTTTAAAAAATAAGCTACTAAACATTTCCAGAACCTATTTCGCCTATCCTTAATTTCTTTTTTATGAACTTAATTTAATAATAAGAAAAACACATTGTTCTTTTAAAGGAAGACGACCCTTTGTTCTTGTGTGGTGCTCACTTTCTTAGAAAAAGATTAATGTATATTACGCTAACCGTAATTAATTTTAGTAGAAGTAAATTGTAGTTGGCGAAACAGAATGTTCTATGAGAGTTTTGTGCACAGCAGAATTTCCGTTGTCTTCGTTTTTCCAACCCTAAAATGTGGCCCATTCCGTAATCAAACATTCACAAATTGTTACGGACCGAATGCAAAGTTTCTCCGTCAGAGAAGCCATAATTTCTAAAAGTGCTGACGTGACCGAGAATTTTGGTAAAGCGTTAAAGCTCCGATAGTGCTAACTGCTCCCTTGTTGTAAGCCCTTTATCTGAATGTCACCTAATGTTCAACATTCGGGGAGAAAACCGCCAGAGCGTAACTATTATACCACTCTTGTAACAGAAGCGCAAATCTGTTGAAGGTAATAAATCAATACATCGACGTATATACCATCACGCAATTGTCTCCGATATGAACTCACCGACGAGCTTATGAGAATTTTTTATTTTAAACCCCACTCTATCAATTTACCTTCGACAATGCGTTATCATTTTACCTTGAACCATTTATTTTACCAGAAGACTTTTCCACTAGATTGATTTAATAAATTGTAGCTAACATATATTACAATATGTGCTAGCTTGCCTCTGTTGTTACATTGTGGTAAAATTGTAAATGACTAACTACATTGTAATCCTAAACTGGAACTTATTACTTACATTGCGTTAAAATTATAAATAAGCACACTGTGATCTCAAAACCTAAGGCAATGTATAGATCTTTTACATTGTCTTTCAGTTACAAATCCATCGTTGTGGCTAAATTGCTTATTCTTACATTGTGGTTAAATTGTAAATCGGTGGCTGAATTGGAATCCTTAAAATGTTTTGTACTTATAATATATACTACCACAATGTACCAACTGAGGATTGTTGTACCACAATGTAACAACAGAGAATTGTTACATTGTGGTAAAACTGTAAATGACTAACTACATTATAATCCTAAATTGGAACTTATTACTTGCATACATTGTGACCAAATTGCATACATAAGTATATATTGGTACCGAGATCAAGAACACCTTAAATAAGTATTTTTCTGATATTGTTCCTTACATTGCGTTGAAATTATAAATAAGCGCACTGTGATCTGAAAACCTACGGCAATCTATAGATCTTTTGCATTGTGTTTAATTTACAAATCCATCGTTGTGGCTAAATGGCTTATTCTTACATTGCGGTTAAATTGTAGATGGCTAGCTGCATTGGGATCCTTAAAATGTTTTGTACTTACAATATATACTACCACAATGTAACAATAGGGGGATTGTTGTACCACAATGTAACAACAGAGGATTATTACATTGTGGTAAACTTGTAATTGACTAGCTACATTGTAACATTCAGGCTGTTTTAAACTTGAACTTACTGTAATCTATAGATCCTTTACATTGTGTTTAAGTTACAATAATTCGTTGTGGTCAAATGCCTTATTCTTACATTGCGGTTAAATTGTAAATGGCTGGCTGCATTGCAATCCTTAAGATATTTTGTACTTACTTTTAAATATTACTTCTTACATTCATACCATACTGTAAATGAACCGAAATCGGGAATATTTTAAATATGTTTGGGATCCTATTTCTTACATTGTAGTGAAATTATACTTGAATGCGTTATAATCACAATCTTATTATATCTTTTACGTTGCGTTAAAGTTGTAAATAGTCAGCTGAAGTATGTAAATATATTGTGGTCCCAAGAAACTATCTGTAACTTCTGCGACCTTAGGAATCTTTAAAGCCATGTAATACACAATGATTTAATTATCTACTAATCTCGTAATTGCGGTTTTGTGTTTTGTACAATGATTGATACATTGCGGCAGCATTGTGGTTTTCACGCTCTTGTGCGTATCTTTCTTTTATTATCCTCTTTTAATTTGCGTATATTTGTTTTATTTATTCTTTACTGTTATTGTACATTTTTAAAGGCGCCAGTAGCTAATAAATCGGAGTTGTTGAAGCCCGCTAAGTTTTCCTTTGCGAATCACATTACATTCATCCGTGACCTAAATATTTGTACCTACTAACTCCTAGGTCATGTACAACAATGTAATTTAGTTTAATTTTATCTTCGCAACCGATAATGTCCGCAAGTGTTTTATTCCTTTTTGCGTTAAATAAAAGCAACAATGACTAGATGCGTCCAAAAATCGGCCTTCTTCATTCACGTCTGCGTCTGGTGTTCTACAATTGCCGCCGTTGCTTCGAAAGATCGTGGATCGATAGAAAACGCGGAGATTCCTTTGAAATATAAATCTGTAAACATTACGTACGATGTCGAGAAGATGAATCTTGTCGAGGCTGAGGATTTCTTGAAGCTATTGGAGCCTTCGAACGACGTTTGTTGGATTTACTGCTTTTGTACGTCGGAGAAGTGCTTCACTTTTTCCTGTTCGCATCTAGTCGAAATAACAACAAAGATACTGCACGGAAACAATGAAAAGTTTTACGTCATCAGTGAAGTGGCTGGTGCTGGTTCGGTGTTCACTAGATGCGAAACTTTTCCTTTAAATTTATCCAATTCGTCGGAGAATAGCACGGTCAACAACACTCTCTTCGCCGTCGCGCAGTGCTACACCAACCTCAGGAGCATCAGCGAGGAACATTTCGCATTTCTATCTCACGACGAAAGGTAAAACAATCATTTTTGAACGGACTACAGCTTCTTGAACATAATACACAAATATCATTATTTAAGGAAGAAGCTTTTGTTTAAATTTACCCAATAAACTGAACAATTAGTTTAGAACAGTTCAAATTTTTCACGTTTTTAGTTACCATGAAACAAAACACAGAATTTTTTCTTTTTTCTTATTAGAGGAGTTGTAGTAAAAGAAAAAGAAATCATTGGTTAAATTTTCGCGCAGTTTGAGTTGGAAGAGTGCCAGGGTGGCGGAAATGATAAGTTTGCACTAAGGGAGACTAGAGCGAGCTCGAGAATAGCCTAAAGGGAGAGAAACGGCAAATACATTCCTTATCAAAGCTCCAAACGACCGTACCTTTGAAAAAGGGCTATTAGATTACAATAAACTACCACAAAATTAACATTCAGTTAGCTAATTTCCAAAGTTCAACCTTTGGCCATTTAACAACTTTTTATTAACGTGTTATACGTATGTACTAAAATCATACATTTGGTTATAATTTGATAAAATGTTTACCTTAGGGCATTCTGTTCCCTTATAATTATTATTAATATTAATATTATACGATCGAACATCGTAGTATCACTAAATAGTATAAACCAAAGTCGCTTTCCCGCTGTCTGTCCTTATGTATNATCACTACATAGTATAAAACAAAGTCGCTTTCCCGCTGTCTGTCCTTATGTATGCTCAAATCTTTAAAACTACGCAACGGATTTTGATGCGGTTTTTTTTAAAAGATAGATTGATTCAAGAGGAAGGCTTATATCTAAATATATGCTTAATATAGTAGGGAAACACTGATAATTTTAGAGGTTTCTAATGTGATGTCGTAAATAAACACATTTTTTGCGCTTGCATTGCAAACGTTGGCTGAACCCTACGAGATAGATCAAAATAATGTACTACAATATTGTACATCTTAAGAGTCTACAAAAAAGTCCGGGATGGTATATGTCTATCTCTTAGGGATAACCCACAATAACCATTTTTATCCTGTACTTTTTATGTGAAATAATGACTTATTTACGAAGCGATTGTAGGCAGTACAGCAATAATTCTTATCCAATTAAGTACCTTAAATACATTGTACATTTAATATAGATCAATATGGCCCTTTATAGCATGTAATTTAAATGAATATTTTCGAGGATATTACAGATTTAAAAATAGCGGTTGCGGCGGTACCGGCCGGGAGGCCGGTTTGTATTGTCTAATGACAAAAAAACTGTGAATGTTGTATATAAAGACATTCTGTAGTATATTTAGTATGTTCAGGGGGTATCTTTTGAAGATTTCCCCTTCTCGATAATAATCTAAACAAAACAAAAATATACATATTTAGTATCAGCATTGCACCCGTGCGAAGCTGGGGCGGGTCACTAGTAATTTGATAAAGTGTTTACCTTAGGGCATTCTGTTCCCTTATAATTATTATTACTATTAATATTATGCGATCGAACATTCTAGTATAAAATATAATTACAACTACAGCACAGTTTGAGGTAAACGAACAAGTTTGTTCATTTCAAATTCATCTTGGTTTAGCAAGTACACGGTGCATCATGGTTTCGGTCTGCTCACTTCAGATTGCTGTCAATCAGCAGTCTCTGAACTTATTTGAATTTCTCTCATGTTGAAATTCTCCAGAATCCAAATTGAAGTTTCACCAAAGCAACTTGTTGTTACGTATTCATACCCGGTTTTCACACGTACACAATTTAAACTGTTGCATCCTGAAGGAATACAAAACCGGCGCTTTTCCTTCCTTTTCAGTACATGATTCCATCTCCCCTAATAGTAATTTCCAACCATTAGAAATAATGCGATATCCGTACAAATAAACTATTATATTTTAAACAATTTAACTCCAGAATACGAAACGATCGGAAAATGGAATTGACTATAAAAATTTCCACGTCTTCTTCAACGTAATATTTTGAAGAAACTTAACAATTTATCCGTCCCATAGTGCGATCATTAATCATACACGTACAAACACTCATAGAATGCACTAAATAAGGATTACGAGAAGATTCCGGAAGTAATTTTCCAAAAAACTCGAGAACATTCCAAAAGAATACAAGTCTGGTAGACAGTTGTACTCATCACCCACTTCTCTGTTTTTGCCCCTTACATCATCTTTATAACTTGACATACTTCTTTAACTTTCACTTTCAATCCCATCTTCTCTTTTATCAGTCGTTCCAATTCCCTTTTTTTTATTTCTTCTCCTACCTTTATTTCCTTTTCCATTTCCATTTCCATTCTCCTTATTCTTTTCTTCTTTCTCTTGCTTCCCTACACGCTTTTCAATCTCTACCTCCTCCAATGTCATTTCCTTCACTTCTTCTTTTGAACTGTTTTTCCTGTCTTTTCCCATTTCTTACCACTTTTGTTCAATCTGTCTCCATTTTCCTGTAATTTTCCTTTGGTCTCCTCCATTTCTTTCATCTTTTCCTATATACTTTTATTTTCTTCCTGAGTTTTATCCAATTATTGTTCCAAATCCTCCAATCTTCTTCTTGGTGTTCACTAGATGCGAAACTTTTCCTTTAAATTTATCCAATTCGTCGGAGAATAGCACGGTCAACAACACTCTCTTCGCCGTCGCGCAGTGCTACACCAACCTCAGGAGCATCAGCGAGGAACATTTCGCATTTCTATCTCACGACGAAAGGTAAAACAATCATTTTTGAACGGACTACAGCTTCTTGAACATAATACACAAATATCATTATTTAAGGAAGAAGCTTTTGTTTAAATTTACCCAATAAACTGAACAATTAGTTTAGAACAGTTCAAATTTTTCACGTTTTTAGTTACCATGAAACAAAACACAGAATTTTTTCTTTTTTCTTATTAGAGGAGTTGTAGTAAAAGAAAAAGAAATCATTGGTTAAATTTTCGCGCAGTTTGAGTTGGAAGAGTGCCAGGGTGGCGGAAATGATAAGTTTGCACTAAGGGAGACTAGAGCGAGCTCGAGAATAGCCTAAAGGGAGAGAAACGGCAAATACATTCCTTATCAAAGCTCCAAACGACCGTACCTTTGAAAAAGGGCTATTAGATTACAATAAACTACCACAAAATTAACATTCAGTTAGCTAATTTCCAAAGTTCAACCTTTGGCCATTTAACAACTTTTTATTAACGTGTTATACGTATGTACTAAAATCATACATTTGGTTATAATTTGATAAAATGTTTACCTTAGGGCATTCTGTTCNTTCTCCTCTCTAGTCGGATACCTCCAGCCAGAAAATTTTCCCTTGGGTAAACCTTTGACGAAATCTTTGTTTTTTATTATATCATAATGCAATAAAAACCTACACAAACATAAACGTATCCCTGAATAACTTATCACTAATGTACCAAACAAAAACAAGAACGACTACGTCCAGTAAATTCATAAAATAGTAAAGATAAATATCCTTTTTGCATTATCCTGCCAATAATAATAAAATCGTTTTTGTAAGTCAATTAATGAGGCAAATACGACTTGACTTTTATTTAAGAAAACTGCTGGGAAAATAAATGTATTGTAGTAAATAATGAGACTAAAACTTCTACTGGACTACTTCGAACTCCATTAACAGCAAATGTGGCCTAAGTCTAATGCTTATTTACGTTAATTTTGTCAGAAATTTACGACAAAACTTTCAGAACATCAAACAACGATTCATTAAATGGCAGCGTATGCGACTTTTTCGACGTTTTTCTAATTTCTATTGTCTGCTATTGATATACATATACATATAATAAGAAAAGCCAATTTTCTGTCTAGAGAAAACTATTCCTAAAAGCCTTTTTAGCTTGTTTGGGCTTAAAAAATCGACAATTCATTGGAATATTATTTAGTCTTTTATAATAAATACCTAACAAGAGACTACTTTTGATGTATCGTTTTTATCAATTCATTCGTAACGTTTTCTTTGCAGAGCTAGTGAAAGAAGCGCTGAAGGAAGATCTATCATTACGTCTAGTTATTTTTCAGGTAATCGCCACCCTTTAATTATTCCTGACAGATCATTTTCACTGAAAGACAGACGATTTTAATAAACATACCTTCACCTAAAGAATGAACCTTATTTTTAGACTATTATAAATTTCTTCTTGTTAATTACACTTTCAAAATTGTTTAAGGGAAATAAAGAAAATCGCTTGTATAATTTTAGTGAATAGGGTAATAGGGTTGACCCTGTGCATACATAAATCTTCATTATTTCATAAACAACTAAGGGTAAAGCAAAATCCGTGTACTATTTAAGTATTTATCGACATGGTTCAGACTATTTTTTGTTGTGCATGGCAGCGTAAAGTGAATAAGTTTTGAATTATTCAAAACGTCAATTAATAAGACAAATGTGTTTTGGAATTTGAGAGAAGAATCGCGTTCTTTCGCGTTTAGTTCAGAAAACAATTTTGAAACTATTTTCCAACTTTTGCTGGATTCTACGTATAAGAACAGGCACATTAAGGTTTTTTTTAAGTTATCTTTAAATAATGAATGTAAATTTTATTATCGTCTTCTTATGAAATGGGTCGTTATTATTTCTTTTCTCGCTTGTAATTATTATTTTCATTCATTTTCAACATCTTTATCTTTCCAATTTGCAGCACTTACTTCACAAAATTGAAAATCCGTTTTAATTCTTCAATTATTTACACATAACTAGCAAAAAAGGAAAATGTTCTTAGGTACTTAACTATTGTTAAATACTCTAAATTTTTATTAAATCAGCATATGATTCAAAATGTTTAAAATAATATATCCATTGAGTTCTGCATCAGCAATTAATCTAAACTATCAGATGCTAATCGCGATTTTAGTTCTCATTAGCACGCCAAACGTATTTTCGTGAAATCACCCAACAAATTGAAGTTAATATCAAGTAGTACCTACCTATATCGTCATCTACTATGCTAGTATCTATTGAGCAACTCGACCGAAACTACTTACACCTGTATATACCTACAGTACCAATGTACTGATGAGAACTAATCTGTTCGAAATTGCGATCTATCAGTTAACCAATATTGATTCTTTTTTATATCACACTTTCGCTTCTTTTGAACAATTGTTTATTGTTTCGCTTATTATTTATTACTGGATTATTCAAAAATGCTGTTAACACCAAACTGACTTTTGAATTAATGTCTTCGCAACTTCGTAAAGCTTTAGTCTTTCGATGAACCAATAAAGATCTAGTTTTTGTCGGCACACAATGCCAGTGTCGTCTTTTATTCAAAAGAAATTGAAAAAGTTTCCTGACAATTATGACTTCTACTTCGTGACGTTATTCATTCTTCTTTAAGAACTTTACAAAACCGAACGACGAAAAGTATGAGCTGAAAATTGAACAGAAAGGATCCCTTCAAGCTCGACAAAATACAAAAGGAATGACACCTTGAAACAGTTAATTATTTATTAAGGATTCCGTTAGTGAAATAACTTAAGAGTTATGAGCATACTTCCAACGAGATTAAAAAGGAATTTGACAACACAAAACAAAAGAAAATCCCTTAGTCAAATACAATTTTAACACTTCATCTTGAACTTGAGATTCTTTTATTAATTTGTGCTATGTTTGGATTTTGTAATTCATCAAACTATTTTCAGATTATCAGAGTAGAAGGGGCTGTACTAGCGTGGTTTTTTCTTTGGCTAGTTTTGGCGTTTAGTTTTCCCTGTGCAATCATAACGAAAGTTTGTTGTGAGAATACGAATATGAAACGATTGGAAGACGGATCATCGATTTTTTCAACCGACAGTAAGGACGATTGTGGACGTTATATCGTTACGATATTTTACCACATTTTACTGGCACTATTTTTGTAAGTTTAGCTACTGCTAAAAAAATTCTCAAATCCGTTTAATAAAGGCAAATGGAAATGCAATTTTTCATACATATTTCTCGTTCTCTTCCAGCTTATTTGTATCGCTTGTGTTGGCTAGTAACGAGAAAATATCAAGAACTGTCATGAGAGCGCCTCAAGAAACAGTTCACTTACTCGATGATGTTGAAAATTTCATTAAAGACACCGAGATGCAATATTCCTTTGTAATATCCTCGTCCTGGGAAGTAACAACTACATCCATATTTGAACATCTTTCAGGTATTATGCACTGAATTTTTAAATCAAATGGAAGACCACAGCAGACTCAAAGAACATATAGTTGGGACATTCAAAATTGGCCTAGACCGCAATAAAACTTTCTTCTTTCAAATTAGTAACTAGACTAAAGCGGTTACTGACAGAACCTCTACTTTTACTTACTACAAACGTTGTAGGGAATATAGTAAACATAGAAAAGAGATGTCAAAAGTTACCGTGCGGTATGGCCTAGAGGTTTAGACCATTGCTTAGCATTCGGGAGGACGCCGGTTCGATTCCGGGTCCGTCTGCCTTGGTCCAAGTTTTTCTGTGGTTTCCTTGGATCACCTAGGCAAATGCTAAGGCAGTAATATTTCACAGATAATCTTTCATTCTCTTCTGTCTTCATTTCGACCGTCTCATCTTTCTCACCCGAACCACCACCCACCCATTCCCACGATTCCTGAAAACAGGCTGAAGAGGGCCTTCCGCCCTATCTTCCGGCGTAGTCCGGAGGGACTGCCCGCCCACCAGCATTACTGGCTGGTGGGAATGAAACACCCAAAAGTTTTTTTTTTATGTCAAAAGTTCAACATCTTCAGGAATTTCGGAAAGCAAAAACATTTGGTTAAAAATATAATTCCAACCAGGCAGTTATAAAGTCAACCCTGATCTTTTGGGTACCTGGCAACCTCTAACCGCTGCACCGCTTACTATTATTCGGTTATCTCTTTTCATTTTGTCTGTACTACCCAAGAAGCATTTCCTTACTTAACAAGGCTGTGTTCAAACAAACAGTTCCAAGTGGAAACAAGAAAGAAGATACATCCTTTCTCACATATAATTTACTGTGGACTTTGCCAATTTTGATTGTTCCAACTATACTAAATTTGTTTTGATAACTGCCTACCCAAACAATAATAATAATTCAAAAGCAACTGCAATTTTATGTCTTTTATTCACATAATTCTTTTCAGATGTAGACTACTACTTAGGGAAACCCCTCCAGGATAAATTGGACGAAGAAACACATCTAAGAAGATCCATCGGGAATCTTACCACCCTGCTTTCAGGTAAAAATAATTGCTCAAAAATCGCCTCAAAATCGCTTTATAACGGCATTATAATGCGATTTAATATTAGTACAGAAATTTAATAAAAGAATAATTTAATAATAAACTATTTTAATTGAAACTGCGTTTAAGGCAATTAAAAATTAGTTATGTATATAATGATAGATACTAAATTTATGTGATTTAACAGCGTAGTCCTTTCTAAAAAAGGATAAATACATTTGAGTTCTTATACTATATGATAACAGGAGTGTGGTGTCTTCGCATTTTTTAAACAACGTTACGAATAAATTGACCCTCCGATATTTAACGAAGTAGCTGATTGCTTCTCTTTTACAATTGCTGCAAATGTTGTTATTTACGTGTAAATTGACCTGAATCGTCCTTAGGATCAGTGGAAGTTACTAACCGAGTTAAGGAGCTTGTAATGGACTGTAACACAGCAAAAACGATCAGAGTCGAACTACAAAGCGAACTTACTAACTTTCTCAAGGAACTCAATAGTATTATCCGCAAATGTACCAGGGAAGATCAGAGTTTGTGTGACACACTTGCCCTGAACAAACTCGAAGTCGTTTTTAACACTGACGAGGTAAGACTTTTTTGTTTGTTTGAAATATTCTACTTAATCCAATTGTTAACACAGGTCTGCGAATTTTTTTTTTGAAAAGTTTTTTAAAAATTTAAATTGTTAATGTTTGTCGTAATTGTCTTAAAAGTAATAGAAAACGATATTAATATGGTATATACCACGTCACATTAACCCATAAATACTCAGAGAACACATTTCCATTTGAACCCTTCCCACGTAATGAGTACGACGAAAAAATATTCGATAACCAGTGTTTTTATGTTTTTAACGATGCTCTTTTCGATGGTGTTAATTAAAGTTACCTCCGACAATATAAAAGCATTGAAAAATTGAAAATAAACAAAAAAACGTGATTTTTGAATTAACCTTTTTAAAAAAGTAATTTTTTGTGTCCTTACGATTTTTTTATATGCTTAAAACCTATGTAGATCATGACCTCCATATTTAAACATGAAATAATCACCATTGGTCAAGTCGAAATGTCTTTACAAACTGTTTGATCAAACCAAGTTTAAAGTAAAGTGGTGGAAGCAATACTTTTTCGGGATCATTCAAACTCGTATTAATTGACATTTTTCACTCCGACATCCAATTGCATTCTAATTTGGACATAAAAATACCGAATAACAATGATTTTGATTTACCATAAGTCCACTGTCTTAACATTTAATACATAACCGGCATATTTTATCCTTACCCAGTGTTTACCTTGGTGTCACAACTTCGTTTTGAAGTAAGCTTAATAAGCATTTTTTACAAAGTTTGTTATATTCAATCTTTGCTTAACCATTGTATATTGCCTGCAAATGTAAAAAAAATACATTTGAATTCTTTTAACAACAATTTACATGCTTAAGATAAATTTATACAAAAAACTTTTTTATCGCAGACCTGTGTAATTTTCAACAAACTAATGATTCCTTAATTAAGCTTACTTTTGATGTCCAGAACGTTATCGTTTAGGTCGAGTTTAAAGATGTCGCTTGGAGTATGCATCCATCAAAATGTGAACGAATTTAACAAGTAATAATTCGTTTCGTTCTAATTAGATAAATGTTTCTATCTTCCAGTGAATTTGTTGGCCGAGTTTCTGAATTCAATGAACTCAGGTCAATTGAATAAAATAGACTTAGGGACTAATAGCAATAAATCTAGCAAAAAAACAGAAAATTCCCAGAACAATCCCCTTCATTAAAGCTAGCCATCAGAAAATAAACTTTGCGTCCACAAGAAAAAATTAAGTCAATATTTTTACAAAACGATTTTGTTTTTATTCTTACGGCAACTCTTATACACACGCACCAAAGGGAGATAAATCAATAAAAATCCTCATGGTTTTCAAGCACATATTTAATCCAACGATTTCTTCAGTTTTGTTAAGACCAATGCAGACATTATTATTCACTTTTCTATTCGATTAACTTTTGAAAATAAATATTTAATATCAAACCTTCAATCACTTCATTATCTGTAAGGTTTTTTATCTTATTTAAGATAAGTAATTAAGCTCGGTCTTGTCCATTTACTTTTACTCTATCGATTTCTAAATCTAAACACTTTCAGCGGCACTGTCATCATTAATCATAGCTCTTCGTCATCTGCCGATTAAACTGTTGGTTTTACTCCTATATAATGTAGTTATAATACATCAATATCAATTAGAACTCGTCCTACACAAACGAAAGGTATTTGTGGGTCTACGAATCTTACGTGCAGTTGCCAGTAAATAATTGTAGATGGCGGTATACTTTCAATTATTTTCATTAATTGAAACTGTTTATGAATAAGTACTGTTTACGTAATACAATTTTGGAAAGGGAGATTTTTGTGGAAACGAACCACGTTGTCTTTGATTAATAAAATAACATAAATCTTCGGGAATTATTATAGCCAACAAATCACGATGTGGTTTTGTTGTGAACAGAGAACAAAACAGAAAATTTAATCGAGAAGATTGATGACAAGGAAGAAGAAATGGACGGCCATTTAATGATAAAAGAAATAGAATCGTACAGGATCGCTCGCATTGTATATCCTTCTTCAGTCGCACACAAATAAATGATTTAAATTTTTTTTCCTTCTCCATTCGACTGTCATTTGAAAAATTGTTTCGTTTTATTTAAACGTCGCTTTCTTGATCTCCGCTATACGGACTCGTCGGAAAAGCATGGCTGACGTGATGGACAGACGGCACAAAAACGATACACAACTCATGTCGGAAAAACAAGAGAAAGATGTTAAAAAAAAGACAGAAATTCAACAGCACACTACGACCCCAAGAAATTATTAGCGCTTGGAACTGAAAATGAAACAAAATTTCGTATTTGTTAATTTTCTTTTTAGTGTTGTTATTACTTCAAATCGATTTTCACAGGATATTTTAAAATAATCGAAAGGTTGCACTGCTTTTTACAAACCTTCCTTTTGAAGCATTAGGTACATCAGCATTTGCGGCTTCCTTTTGATCTTGTTCAAAATTGTTTATATATATATGATAATACACAAATTTAAACTTGTTAACTTTTTCCTTTTAGAAGTGCCTTTCTTAATAATCATTCTGTCGTAATATTTGAAAATTCTATTACCATCAGCTGACGTAAGTAAATGAACTACGACTTAAAGAGAAAGAGGGCCTTTTTAAACTTCTCCGTTTTTTTTTTATTAACAGTGAATAAAAAAAAATTCGATAAATTGCTTCCTAGATAGTGCGTTTGCTTGAGGCAAATGGCAATTGTGTTTGCAACTTACTATTCGTAACGCTTAAACTTTCAGGAATTATATTAATATTATTACCTAAAATGCAATTACAAAGGTAACATTTGCGACCCAGAAAGTGCAGTTAAATCTCTTCAATTATATTACTTACGTGCAGATATTCGCGTTTCATTTCAATTGTTATTAAGTCGCAAAGGATTTCGTTAAAATAATTCCTATACTAAAGAGAAATATGTAATTACTTATTGCGATTAGGTGGCTACGATCGGGCACTTAAATTGTATCCAAAGATTGACCGATTAGGCACCTCACAAGCATCCAAAAATTGGCCGTTTCAGCATCTAAATGCCATCCAAAAACTGACCAATTATGCATTCAATTGACAACCAAAAGCTAGCCGATTGGGCACTTAAATGGCACTCAAAAACTCGCCCATTAGGCACTTAACTGACATCCAAAGTCTAGCCGATTAGGCACCCACATGACATCCAAGCACTGACTAATTGGTCACTTAACTAACTTCTAAAGTAAGCCGATTAGACTGACCGTTTTGACACTTAAATAACATCCAAAAATTAACCAATTAAGCACCTAAATAACATCATTTGCACTGACCGGTTAGGCACTTAACTGGGTTTTACAAACTGAACTATTAGGCATTTAACTAGCATCCAAATGCGTTCCGATTAAGCACCAAACGCTGACTTCTCAGGTACCTGAATGACAGCCAAACACTGACCGATTAGGCACTTAACTAGATTTCACAAACTGAACTATTAGGCACTTAACTAGCATCCAAATGAGTACCGATTAAGCACCAAACGCTGACCTATTAGGTACCTGAATGACAGCCAAACACTGACCGATTAGGCACTTAACTAGATTTCACAAACTCAACTATTGGGCACTTAACTAGCATTCAAATGAGTGCCGATTAAGCACCAAACGCTGACCTATTAGGTACCTGAATGACAGCCAAACACTGACCAATAAGGCACTTAACTAGATTTCATAAACTGAACTATTAGGCACTTAATTAGCATCCAAATGCGTGCCGATTAAGCACCAAACGCTGACTTCTTAGGTACCCTAATGACAGCCAAACACTGACCGATTAGGCACTTAACTAGATTTCATAAACTGAACTATTAGGCACTTAACTAGTATCCAAATGCGTGCCGATTAAGCACCAAACGCTGGCCTATTAGGTATCTAAAAACTGACCGATTAGGTACCTGAATGACAGCCAAACACTAACCGATTAGGCACTTAATTGGGTTACAAAAACTGAACTATTGGGCACTTAACTAGCATCCAAATGCAAACCGATTAAACACCCAAGGTTGACCTATTAGTCACCTAAAATATAGCCGATGAAACACTCTAATTGTACCGAAAACCAGACATAGAGATATCGTGGTATCACGGAAAATGGCCCAAAAGGCGGGCAATCCAACATTCTCGACTTAACTCGAAAAATAGTTAAAAAATGGTTCAATTAAACGTTGTAATTGAAAAAACGTTCTCTTTTTTTGTACTTTACATGTTGATACATTTATTGATCGTTATATTACACGAGAAGATGTAGGAACGTTTCCCTGACATTCATCTGAATTTCTTTCAGATTCTGTCAGACGCTCGTCTGAAGCACTTGCAAGCTCTAGGCGAGGAAAGTAACTTCAAAAGGAAAGTCGAGGGTCTTCGACAGTCATTCGAAAGCATCCCCAAGCGAGTACGCTTAGACACGACAGCATACAGATCAGGTTATTTACCGTGACCCGTTACTCTCATTCTCGCACCTTAGTTTCAATCCCATTTTCCGTAACAACTTATTCCATAATAATAAACCCGTAGAAGGATTATTCTCTTCCTTACAATATACTATTGTTATATATTACTCCTTTTTAACAATGTAGTTGCTTATTATTTGGGACACTAGCTTTTAAAAAAAAATTAAAAGGTGCGACAAGGCTTCACCTTATTCTCTTCGGTGTCTCGCACTACTACGTCGATACTATTCATCAGCAAAAATAGCTACTCAAGCAACAATATCGCCCCATTTATGAAACCACATGCGTCTCTATTCTATTCGTTTCATATAAATAGAATTTTTCGCTGACTTTTCCCCTGAAACATCCTACGTAGTGCAATCCTTTTCAGCGGCTGGCGGCAAAAGATTTCTTTCGTATTTGCAGAAATTGCAAATGTTCTGCGTAGAAGGAAAAGTATGGCGTACAAATCGACCCAAGATCTGGAAGACTTATCGAAGAGTCTTCAAAAGAAAATCAGCACGGCGGCCACGTACGCTACTGAAATAGCGGAAACAGTGGCGGGGAAGGATGTCTGGAGATGGCTGACTATTATTGGTAAGCGAATCAAGCATATTGTAATAACAATTTTCTAGTAGTTATAACTTTTTATTTAAACAAATCTCATATGTGACTCTAAGTACTTATAAATACGAACTTATGTCACTTTTAACTTCACTTGACCGTGTTACCTTGCAACGGTATGACTCACGACAGCGGTTTTCGTCAGCATTTTCACAAGGTATCGATCGTCGCTTGCGGCATTCAATAATAAATTAAAGAAATCTCATAGATTTAACCTTGAAGAGACTCTAAACGCCTATAAAAAGGAGTTTATGTCACTTTTAACTTCTCTTGACCGTGTTACCTTGCTGCGGCATGACTCACGACAGCGGTTTTCGCCAGCGCTTTCACAAGGTATCGATCGTCGCTTGCGGCATTCAATAATAAATTAAAGAAATCTCATATATTTAACCTTGAACCGACTCTAAGTGCTTATAAATACGCATTTATGTCACTTTTAACTTCTCTTGACCGTATTTCCTTGCAGCGGTATGACTCACGACAGCGGTTTTCGTCAGCACTTTCACAAGGTATCGATCGTCGCTTGCGGCATTCAATAATAAATTAAAGAAATCTCATAGATTTAACCTTGAAGAGACTGTAAACGCCTATAAAAACGAGTTTATGTCACTTTTAACTTCTCTTGACCGTGTTACCTTGCTGAGGCATGACTCACGACAGCGGTTTTCGCCAGCGCTTTCACAAGGTATCGATCGTCGCTTGCGGCATTCAATAATAAATTAAAGAAATCTCATATATTTAACCTTGAACCGACTCTAAGTGCTTATAAATACGCATTTATGTCACTTTTAACTTCTCTTGACCGTATTTCCTTGCAGCGGTATGACTCACGACAGCGGTTTTCGTCAGCACTTTCACAAGGTATCGATCGTCGCTTGCGGCATTCAATAATAAATTAAAGAAATCTCATAGATTTAACCTTGAAGAGACTGTAAACGCCTATAAAAACGAGTTTATGTCACTTTTAACTTCTCTTGACCGTGTTACCTTGCTGAGGCATGACTCACGACAGCGGTTTTCGCCAGCGCTTTCACAAGGTATCGATCGTCGCTTGCGGCATTCAATAATAAATTAAAGAAATCTCATATATTTAACCTTGAACCGACTCTAAGTGCTTATAAATACGCATTTATGTCACTTTTAACTTCTCTTGACCGTATTTCCTTGCAGCGGTATGACTCACGACAGCGGTTTTCGTCAGCACTTTCACAAGGTATCGATCGTCGCTTGCGGCATTCAATAATAAATTAAAGAAATCTCATAGATTTAACCTTGAAGAGACTGTAAACGCCTATAAAAACGAGTTTATGTCACTTTTAACTTCTCTTGACCGTGTTACCTTGCTGAGGCATGACTCACGACAGCGGTTTTCGCCAGCGCTTTCACAAGGTATCGATCGTCGCTTGCGGCATTCAATAATAAATTAAAGAAATCTCATATATTTAACCTTGAACCGACTCTAAGTGCTTATAAATACGCATTTGTGTCACTTTTAACTTCTCTTGACCGTATTTCTTTGCAGCGGCACGACTCACGACAGCGGTTTTCGTCAGCACTTTCAAAAGGTATAGATGGGCGCTTGCGGCATTCGATAATAAATTAAAGAAATCTCATAGATTTAACTTTGAAGAGACTCTAAATGCTTATAAATAGGAGTTTATGTCACTTTTAACTTCTTTTGGCCGTGTCACTTTGACAGCGGTATGACTTGCGACAGCGGTTTTCGTCAGCGCTTTGATAAGGTATTGATCGTCGCTTGCGGTATTTGATAATAAATTATGCATTATAAATAAAAGAAAAGCAAACAACCCTAAAAATGATTTATTAAAAATAACACGAAACAAAAAGAGATTACTGAATGTGAAATAGTCATAATTATTTATCAGTTTTGGCTTTTTCAATAATTGTGATAACTAAGTTGTTATGTTTTCATGGCATAATTTCGATAGAAAAAGTGAATCCATCTAGAAATCCTGGCGCATGCATATAGGACTTACATTTTTAATTTCCTGCTGACTGACTCAGTGACAGATATAATCTATTCAAAGCGATCGTAAATTCTGAAGAATGAAGGTATCAGTTAAGATGCCCCAATTCCATGCCAGAAAATCGGTTTCGCGGTGGATAGGAATACTTCTCCTCTATTAGACGCATCCAGGAAACAGATTTTAGACATTATTGTAATTTGTTTCAATCGAAATCTTCCTGAACTATTACAATTTCAATCAAACTATCAAATGCCAAATGTTTCATATTCTTACCACATAAAATGTGCTGTACATTTATATTAAGTAACGATAGAGCTAAATCAATTGAATATAGTGTTTTAGTAGTTAATTATAAAATAGATTTTAAATATGCATTACGATAAATAAAAATTCTGTATCTATTACGTAATTTTACAGTAGGTAACTTCATCATTAATTTCATTAGAAATTCAATTTGTTTTTGCAAGTGTTTACCACCAAAATTTTTTTCTTTTTTCATTCTCAACGGAATAAATTGAATCCATTTGTTCTCCTTATAGTCCTCTCAATAGTCCTTTGTCTGATATGGTGCCTTTACGTGTGTGGAGCACCTTGCGGTTGTGGCCCAAGCAGACGAACCGTTATCCTTTTAACTTGCGGTTTAACGTTGTCCTGTCTCTTGTCCTTATTCCTTTGGGTGGCCGGCAGCCTCCTTTTCCTTTTAGGAGGACACGGCAGGACGATGATATGTCACACGCTGTACGACGAGCAACAATATGAAGCCCTGGGGGACATCCTGGACGCTGGCGGATTGTTTTACAAAAGAAAAGGATTTTTCAACAGTTTCCTTGAAAACGACAAGGACGAAATTCACGCAGGGGATGTCTTAAGGTAAACACAAGAAATTGAATTTAATGATGTATGCAAAGGAATGATTTATTCCGTCCTTATTTAACCCTGCAAACAAGAAATATATTTTAAATAGTCTGCTTTTATATTTCGTATGAAATTCGTGAAGGTTTCCGTGATATTGGATAGGATTTTAACCTAATGGCTCTTGAAAAACCCTCATTCCAGCAATTTCTCAACGTAGGAAGGAAGCAAAAGGAAAATGACTAAAAAAAAAATGAATAGACGTTTTTACAAAAATCAAATTACGAGCCTTTTAAAAGAAATAACGGTTTAAAACTCTCAGGAGATAACGAGGCATCACTTAGGTGTACCTAATACAAATCTTTATTCTTATCTACTACCGTCAACAAACCAACACAAATAATTTTCAGGAGCATTACCGAGATGCTGGATACATTTATTTATATAAATATTTCCGCAAGAGTATTTCGCAGTTTTTTATTGTAATGTAGTGATTAACTGTTTATTTGTCTATGTTTAGAGGTTGCCAGAAAAACGATACAGCGTACAGTACATTTTCGTTAAAGGATATGCTTAACATTGACAAATTGGCAAACTACAATCGTTGGCCTGATTTAACACAGTACCTCAGAAATATTTCTGTGGATTTGTCACGAATGGATTTTTTCCCTTCGTCTCTAGAAGAACATTTGCAGGAACTACAAATGGCATCGACTGCTAATTTAACTAGATACAGGTCGAAAATTTTTGAACCTATTACAAACAAAGTAATTAACTTTCGTCTATCTTGTATGCTATTTATTTTGCAATCGTACATAGTTTTAGTATAAATGCTTAAAAAGCAATACGTTGTAATAGTAATATGTTCTTAAGAAACCGATTTAAGACCGATAACATACTTGCGACTATGCGCGCGGTTCGTCGCCGAGTGACAAAATAAAATTTCGGCTGCAATTTTCATTTCGCATTTTATTATTCAAAAATACCATAGATCGGATGAAAGTGGTGCTAGCCGATCAGAAATTATATCCCCCTGTGCAAGGGGCCTTACGGCAAAGCGTATTACGAACTAGCCCCAAAATTTTGCTCGATTGAGAATGTCTGCAGTTTAGAAGGCGACGCCGTGCGGCGAACGCGCAAGTATGACACCGGCCTAATAAGTTTCATCCAGTTGCAACAACCTTATTCTTTCCAATCTCGTTCAAAATAATAAAACTTGACTATTTGGTGAATTTGCATTCCTAGCAATAAAAGTCTAGTGTCTCATTTCAACTCCTTTTTCGTGTTCGGTAACGTAGCACTTTTTATTTTGACATTAAAGGTTCGTAGAAGATCGAATTCCGAAAAAAAAATAGACACGAAAAAAGATTAGCTATTTTTAATCATCTCCTTAGACTTCTCCATCTTCCAAGGAAAATGGAACATTTAAAAGATCACAGGAAAAAAAATCATTGAAAAAGAATTGTCCTCCTTCGTCCTCCGAAACAACTGAAACTAAAATTTTAAAAAGAAAACAGGGTTATCATAACTCAAAAATCGAATTTCAATCTTCAGTAACTAAATTGCTAAGTGTAAAACGGTGTCTACAAGAAATAGAAACGCGTTTCAATATACAAATGCTCCATTTTACAAAAGATCCCTTTACGCGAAACAATTTCCCTTCGTGAAACTTACAAATTACCGGAAATCTCACAATCATTTTCCATCACTGGCATCGTAGCTTGCAGAATTGAAATCATTATTCAAGCGATTATTTCTAAAGTCCCGTCGTCTTTTTTTTTCGCAGGACTTGAACTCCTTCGTTGACCAACTTGTCAGCGTAAGTCGACAAATTAGCGACGCCGCCACCATCGAAAGCCTCCAAACTCTAACGTTCTCACTTAAACGAATAATTAGCGTCGATTTGGAACCATTACGGAAAATGCAAGATGGAATTGTGTTCAAACTAACTGAACTGGAAGTGTTACTAGCACCGCTCAAAATAAGCGTCAATAAATCTTTGTCCGACTTGAGAAATGTTGAGGTTTTTGTAAAGGCTCAAGGTTCAATAATTTCCCAACAAGTAAGTGACTGACTATTATATGGTTATTCGGAAAGTCATTTCGTTTTTTTTTTGTGGAAATGAAAGACAGTTTTCGTATAATAAACAAATACTTTATTAAATTATATATTGATCGTTCTGGTCCAACACCTTTTGCCATCTTTCTGGTAGTAGCATAATTCCACGCTCATAAAATTTTTGGTCTTTGCTGGCAAAAAACTGATCGAGGAGGTTTTTGACCTCCTCATTTGAGGTGAAGGTTTTACCGTCTAAAAAATTTTGAAGTAACCGGAACAAATAATAATCCGATGGTGCCAGGCCTGGAGAATATGGTGGGTGTAGCATTGTATCCCATTCAAGCTGTAAAAGCTTTTGGCGAGTGACCAAACTTGTGTGAGGTCTCGCGTTGTCTTGGTGAAACACTACACCTTTCCTGTTGATTAGTTCTGACCTTTTCTGTTGAAGTGCATCATTGGGTTTGTCCAGCTGATGACAGTAGACTTCCGAATTAATCGTTGTGTTATCCGGTAAAAGCTCAAAACAAACGATTCCTTTAAAATCCCACCAAACAGACAGCATCACCTTTTTTTGGTGAATATCGGCTTTCGAAATGGTTTGAGCCGGTTCATCTTTTTTGCTTCATGACCTCTTGCGTTTGACGTTGTTGTATACAACCCATTTTTCGTCCCCAGTGATGATGCGCTTCAAAAACGGATCATTTTCGTGACGTTTGAGAAGCGAATCGCAGACGTCCATGCGGCGACACAGATTTCTCTCTGTGAGAACATGGGGAACCCATACATCGAGCTTCGAGGATAATCCCAGGCCTTTCAAGTGGTCATAAACTGTTGAATTTGATAAATTTAACCTCAATCCGATCTCACGTGTTGTTATTCGCCGGTTCACATCAACTAATGGCTTTATCGCGTCTTTATCAGCTTCAACCGGCCTTCCCGAACGTGGTGCATCTTCAACATCAAAATTGCCGGATCGAAATTTAGCGAACCAGTTCTGGCACTGGCGTACTGTCAACACACCTTCTCCATACACATCAGTCAATTTCTTTCTGGCTTGAACAGCATTTTTACCCTTTCTGTAGTAAAACAGTAAGATATGTCGAAAATGCTGCTTATCGCTCTCCATATTTAAAGGGGCACCAACCAAAAACTACTGCGTAGAATTAATTGGAAGTTTTCACACACAAGCCTTGCTATATGAGCTCTCAAAGCATATAAAAATTATACGGCTTAAATGTGAAGTTGGGTGCAAAAAAATACAATTAAATCCTCTGTCGGGAAAAAACGAAATGACTTTCCGAACAACCCGATAGAATGATCGAAAGGTTGTTGAAATACTTTTTTTATAGCAGTAGAAAGTTGATAAAAAAATTGTATCAACTGCTGAGGTGAAATAACACATTATACTCTACACATTTCTTTTTTTTTTAATATCTTCATTGAATACGCATTCCCGATTAGTTGGAAATATGTTTTTCACTCAATTTCTATTTTTCTATTTATAACTTCATCTTTTAGCGCTGGGATATATCGAAACAATTCCCCCTGTATTTTTTTTTGTTGTCTTTCCTTTGCCTTTTCATCCATTTTATTTTTATTTTTTACTAGCGCAGCTTAAAACAATTAGAGGCAAACGTAATATTCGGTCCGCTGGTTCGTCTATTTACCTCTCTGGTAATGCGATTTTCCCTTCCAGTTCGCAACCTAAATAGATCTTATGGGACTTCGTCACTAATCAATTTAGAACGTTCCTCTAAACGTCGATATGCAACGTAGTAGCTTTACTACTGAAAAACTCGATCAAAAGAAACAAAAACTAAAAAAAAACAAAATTGGACAGATGTAGTTTCTTTATTACATCATTTCTGCGTAATGAAGCAGGCGAGAACTAGTTTTCTTATTTCCTCAGTACCTACTTCTATTACCGCCTTTATAGAACGTTTCTATACCTTATTTCATACCTCCTTATTTAAGCAGCATCGTACGAAGGACGAAATTCTACTTCTACAAGGAATTGTATCAGTAAGACGCTGTTAGCAATTCGAAATCTTTATTTTTTTAGATCAACTTTTTAAGTAAGTTGCAAGAAGCTCTTCTAATAATGCCATTTAAATTTGTGCTAGTTTTTCTTCATTGTAAAAACATGATTAACCTTTGATTATAAAGGCTGCCCTTTTGGCTTTAACATGATTAATTCTTCCTTTTTCTTCCTTTCTACAGACTTCAAAAAGTTATACTGATTCTTTGGAGAATTTTCTCCAACAGATGCACAACAACATAAGAATAAACATAATGGAAAAGTATGGTAAATGTGGACCTTTGTGGGATAGATACGATGCTGTTAGAATAACTTTGTGTCAAGCTATAATTGCTTCATTGGTGAGTCATTTAGAATAACAAAAAAAAATCGGTTGTCTGTAAAGTCGGTTTACTGACGATAGTTGAACGTGACAACGTCATAAGAAAATAATGATGGAATGATTTCATTATTTCAAAAGAAAATTTTAATTTTATTTGTTTGATAGATATTTTGTGTGGATATAGAGAAGGAGGTAAATGGAAATGTATTATTTTATAGCAGCTGTCCACGCGGACGCATCGCTCACTCAAGTGGGAGAGAGACAGATGTCGAACGCTGCCGAACGCGGAGGCCGATTGTGCCTCTTTGTCGCTCGTTCCGCGCTCTCGCTTGCACTTTAAGCCTTAAATGGAACGCCTCAGAGCGAGGTAACGCCGCATGAGTCATGTTTTTTCGTGCGTGCAGCCGGCTCCATCGAATTATAAGACGTTGTCACGTCAAAAAAACACGAAGAAGTGAAACTTCTTTGTCCAAATAAAGATAAAAATAAATAATATTAATATAATTTCGAACTATTTCAGGCTAGGTTAGTGAATTGTTAGTAAAATTGTTTTTGCACCTGAATTAGTACTCGAAAAGGTTATTGTGATGCTACCTTCTTATTTACAGAACACTCTTAGCATGTCCTGTTACTTCTTAATCCTGATTTTTATCCTTTTTTCGCCTGTTGTCCTGAAAGTAATCGCTTACTGCAAGATTGACCTCGATGAGATAAACGGGTCAGTTTCATACAGGTAAAAATGACACGAAAAATTAAAATAAAATTTATTTTATTTTGTTTTTGTAGACAAAGGGGTAGCAGCTATGCGATGAGTGAACATAGAACATGGGGCAGTCCTGCAAGGAGTCGAAGCAGAGGGTAATACATGACATTCAAATATTACTTACATAGTGCATATATTGATCTTTATTTTCGGGTCGCTCTGTAAAAATTAAATAATTCAACTCGTACATCGGAACACAACGCGAATGTTTTTACGAAGTCAATAGCAAATACGTCCAAGAAAATTGAAATTCATGTCTTCATTTATGTTTAATATTCCCATTGAAAAGCAGAAAGTTTGAGAAGATGCCAACGAAATTTGATGTTTCGTATCCATCTATAGCTACATTCTCATAACTTCCGGTCTTGATTCCGTCCCGATCCTTATAAAACAAAGTTGAAAAACCCAATCGCAATCTCTTTATATTTGTATTGTTTACAAAACTTTTCAAACTCAACATGTTTGTACAATGTTTTATTACATTGATCTGCATCATTTAAATGTGTGTAAGACATCGAAAATCTGGGAAGAAAAATAAGTAGCACACGCAATTCTTTGCTAAATTTCAAAAAAGATTTTCCTTTATACTTTTTTGGTACAATAATCAGTTGTTGAGTTATTGTCAGTTAAAGATTTAAATGATTAACCAATCAAATCTATTCGCTGCAAGCGACAATACAAACGATCGTCATTTGTCATAGTCTCACTTGCAGCAAATGATTAGCCCGCTGATTGGTTTATTATTTGTAACTTATGCATAGTTAGATGCTTAACCAATCAAAATGTATTCTATTCGCTGCAAGCAAAAGCACAGGCAAAACGTCATTCGTCATAGTCTCACTTGCAGCAAATGGATGGCCCTCTGATTGGTTTATTTATAACTCTTACATAGTTAAATGTTTCACCAATCAAAATGTATTCTATTCGCTGCAAGCAAAAGCACATGTGAAACGTCATTCGTCATAGTCTCGCTTGCAGCAAATAAGTGGCCCTCCCTTTACATAGGTAGATAATTACATAATCGAAATGTACTCTATTAGCTGCAAGCAAAATTACAAGCTAATTGATAGTCATCATAGTCTCGCTTTCAGTAAATTATTAGCTCTTTGATTGATTTGTTTGTAGCTTTTACAGACTTAAATGATTACTAATCCAAATGTACTCTATTTGCTGCAAGCAAAAGTGCAGTTGAATAATTTTCATTGATAATTTATAAAGGTTTTGTAAACATCAAGAAACTAACGTATAATAATGTCGAAGTCAAAATTTATTTCTGATTAGCAGTAACGAAAGGCGGGTAAATATTTATTTTTTCCATTTTAGTAATTAGGTACTTCTAATTTTCATTACTGCACTTTACATACTTACTGTCGCCTACGTTTAAATGAAACATTTTAATAATTCATAAGAAAAGATAGTGCTGTCTGCGTGACATAACACGTAACTTTTAGGTCACCTGAAGAAGTCACTTCTGTACCTGTCCAACAAACTTTGTGGGCGTCACCGAGGTAACCGAATTAATTAATTAAAGTTGTTTGCATCAATAAACCCATTTAATATGTACATACATTCTTACAGAGAGAGCGATACAGTGCCTCGCCCTCCCAGGTAATAATTAACATCAAAAGTTCTTACTTTAATACAATAAGATAAAATATTTAAAGATGTTGACTAAAATGTTCCAACTTTTTCTTTGTTTATTAATTAATTTTATTTATTTATTTATTTTATTCAAAGACCACCAACTGCTCCTAAGATGGACTCCCCTGAGTAAGTATTATTTTTAGAAGAAATAGTACATAGGACAACTTAGTTGTTGGATACTTTGCATGAAATAAACGGTTTAATTGTTACATTTATGAATAAAAGATTGAGTTAATTATTTTTTGCAAACTGCCCACCTAATTGGATTTAATTCAATTATAAAGCATGCCAAAAAGATATGTATCTTTAGAAAGCATGTTTGCAAATTGTAATTAATGTCATTACAAAAAAAGGAGAAACTTGTTGCCTATATTACTCCCTTGGGAAATCCCCAAATAATGTAATTTTAAGCAAAATTGTAAGGCCAGTTAAATAATTAGGTTACAATGCTTAGCCTATTCTTTACACTTAATAACACTTTTAATTAATCAAGATTTATGCACTTGATGATTTAAAGCAGTCTTGCTCCATTAATTGTAGAACGCCCTGTATGTTTAGACCTGTTTAGATAAATGAACACTCCTGTTATAAAATACTGGAGTAATGGGAACCAAAGTAAGTACAGTATTGGGGTAGTTTGACTTTCGACTTTCCGTTTTCCCATTTTACAACGTTCGAACCGTGTTAACTACCCTCAGGGGTGAATGGGGGTGATACAGGCTCCAATTTAAACTTACATGGAATCCGTTGGCTTTCGAATTTCGTTCGTACCAACACTATAAAAAGAATTAACGACTGGAATGTCTAATTCGCGGTTATTAAACCTGACGCTATGTTTTGTAAATTGCTGCACCAAAGCTACTGTAAAACACCCTAGAGAATCTTTTATTCAACTTTATTATAGTGCGCTTCATTAACAACACGTTGTAACTCCTATTACTCATTTCGCTCCTAAAAACACCCAACGATACAACAAAAACCCGGCGGCGTCAAAAGATATTTTAGTATATACCTAACTTTAATATCAGGAATGAAAAATAATGTTTTTTAGCAATTGTTTCTAACGATCTACCGCATTTAATTTTGGATATTTTTTTAATTTTATAACATTTTAAATTCAGACTGCAACTATTTTCCAAGCATTTAAAGCGCTCTTTTATTCTTGTATGAAAAGCTCTACCTGCCTGCCCGCTGTAACATTTATTAGTGTCCGCTGCAATTCCTACCTGACATCTCTTTTCTATGTTTACGATATTCCCTGTCGTGAGTAAAAGTAGGCGTTCTGTCAGCAACCGCCCTAGTCTAGTTAGTAAGTTGAATGAGTATGTCAATTTTAAATGTCCCAACTATAGACTGATGGCTTATATTGAATAAGTTGAAATGACTTGGTTTATGTTTCTTGAATTTAAATAAACTGATACAGGGTAGTTTGAACAAGGGTGCAAGTAATATTACGTCTATATTCTGGTACCAAATCTGGATATATTGTCATATGCTCGGTTTAAATGTGTATCATATATCTCAATCTATTTCAGATTACTTACAAACTAGAAATTATTGCGAATAAAGGTTACAAAATAGCCTTTGTTTCGCCAGAAAAACGAGGTGAAATATCTAACAACTTTGTAATTCTGCTCATCTCGCAAAACAAATTAAATAAAAATGTAATCGTAAATTATTTTCATACTCGGACATTATTTTATTTTCAATTTTACAGCACTATGCGATTGGAAATCCCCACATTACCAAGGTAAAATGCTTTTGAAACATTTAAAAAATTATGTTTCAAAAACGTTTTGTATTTTTTAGAGTTAAACGATCGCCTACAGGAAAATCGCCCAGGTAGGTATACACATTATTATGAAAAGTTCAATTTAAATAGAATATTATTATTTTAGGGCCAGATACGATTCCCTGCGTCAAGTTGAGCCCACTTCTAGCAGACTGTCGCAGTAAGGAATTTTTATTTCTACCACATTACGTTCAGAATTATCCATAAGAACACATTTTAGGCTTTCAGCATCTAAAAGAAGATGGCTCTAAAGACTTAACGGACACTGCATACACTAATTAGATCTGAACAGTTTTTATTTTTATTATAATAACTGCAATTCAGATGGTCACTTAATTGAATTCATATATAGGTAACTTTTGCCCTTTGTTCTACTAACATTAATTAAACAATTTATCGTTCCGAACTGTCTGTACACGTAGGCATCGAAAACGAGCTGCCGAAAAATTGTAGTTAGGCATCATGATGCAACTGGGTGACAATGCACATATCTAACAACTAATTATTTCACCATATTAACATTAGACTGTTTTAAAAGGATGCAAATTATTTAAATTTTGTCCTATTGTATACGTATAAAAGACAGAACTTGACACTTTGTTTCAGTTTAACATTTGAAGTCGTTCAATAATGGAAACTAAGGTAAGAAAGAAAAGAATGAAGTACAAGTAATTCATCCTTAGCGTTACGATTTTGTTTTTAAACAATGTCTTTTTTTGCAGATCGTTTTCTTCATATTTACTTATTTAGTATCTTTCGTTCGATCTAGTCAAAATGTAGAGAAACTTCCGAATACTTTTTCAACGAACTACCACTCTCCAGCCAACGAAGTTAGTTCTTCATTTTATTATACACAGAATCTTCAGTCTCATAATTCTCCACCAACAGAGAGCTACAGACGATTGCAGCAGACCCATAATCCCAACATTCTTGTCAATCACCCCCATGGAGCAGCTGAAAACGTTCCCTTTCTTCAAATCCATTATCCTCCATCTCCAGTGAAAGCACATCCTCCTCAATCTTCACTCAACTCCCTACCAGACCAATATTTACCACCTTTCAAATTTAATTCCCAACCCCTAACAGTCCAATACTCACCATCCTATTTTGAAACAACTACCACGTCACCGAAACCTTCAATCAACAGCTTCCTCTATAATCAATATTTACCATCTGCTACACCGCCCTCAAATCACTTCTTACCCTCGTCAATTACTTATCAACAACATATTACCCCTTCGAATCAAATCGGTACTGGAAAAATTCAAAACCCGTTTCTCATATCGACCCCATTCGGTCAACATAACACAAAAGAATACCGTGAAACTAACAGTAATAATTACTCAAAAAATCGTATCATATTGTTATCGTTATTAGAGAACCAAAAAAATGATCAACCATCTCCGAAATTTATCAGTTCTGCAAGATCGAAGTCAGAAGTTGCTTCAACCCCTACACCATTGCAATTCTCTCAAGCGGGAGGAGCTACGTCCCATGTTGAATTTAGTAGTGCAGATGTTAATTATAAATGGTAATTATTATTATTCTACTTTTGTAAAGATTACGTTGTTTTTGTTTATAACTAATGGTTAAGAAACTCTACGATTAATCCGAACCGATTGTTTTTAATTATGTAAATAATAAAAATGTTACCGAGCAATTATATTTTCTACCTTTCACAATAATAGGTAAATAGTTGTTATTTAGTTTATAAGATAAAGAGCTATGAAAAGTTTATAAAATCATAATTGACTTGTTGCTTAACTAGTTCAATTATATCTATTGTTGTTTTAGATATTAAAAAATTTATTTCGCGAGGGATAAATCGTCGTTTTAGTAGTTGAAAAATTACGAGCGCCATTTTAATACACGTACTTATATCTCTATTTTATTGATTTCGGCTCTGTAACGCCCTTAATCAAGGGGCGCTCGTAAAACTGATTACACCATTAAATTCTACACAATTTTTAGACTTATATCACCACTTCGCGAGGGATGAATCGTCGTTTAAATGGTTGAAAACTTACGAGCGCCATTATAATACACGCACTTATATCACTATTTTATTGATTTCGGCTCTATAACGCCCTTAATCAAGGGGCGCTCGTAAAACTGATTACACCATTAAATTCTACACAATTTTTAGACTTACGAGGGTGGATTGATAAGTTTCCGGCCTGACCAAGAAAAACAAGGTTTTTAAAAATTTTTTTTTTTTATTTCTCAACATAATCTCCTCCAAGGCTGATACATTTCTCATAGCGGTGTTCCAGTCTATTAATGCCATCTCTATAGACTGATTCGTCAAGCTCCTCAAAATAACCATTTACAGCTTCGATTACTTCTTCATTGTCCGCAAATCTCTTACCGCCAAGCCATTTTTTGAGATTAGGGAACAGAAAATAGTCACTCGGGGCTAGGTCTGGAGAGTAAGGAGGGTGCGGCATCAATTCAAACTTTAGATCGTTGATTTTAGCCGTCGCAACGATTGACGTGTGCGCTGGTGCGTTATCGTGATGAAACAAGATTTTTTTCTTCGCCAGATGAGGTCGTTTAATTTTCACCTCGTGGCTCAAACGTTGCAATAAGTCTGCGTAGTATTGACCAGTGATAGTATTACCCTTTGCAAGGTAATCAATGTATATAATACCTCTTGCATCCCAAAAAACAGTAGCCATAACCTTGTTCGCCGAAAAAATTGTTTTTGCCTTCTTTGGAGTTGGTTCCCCTGGTCCAATCCACTGTTTAGACTGTTCTTTGGTTTCAGGAGTGTAGTGGTGGACCCACGTTTCGTCAACGGTTACGAATCGACGCAAAAATTCGCTTGGATTACGCTTATACAATGACAAATTTGCGGTAGAAATGTTTTTTCGAATCAATTTTTGGTCGACTGTTAGCAAACGCGGCACCCATCTTGCACAGAGCTTTTCCATATGCAAATGTTGGTGCAAAATATGTTGCACACGTTCATATGACATCTTACAGGTCTCAGCTATCTCACGCACTTTCAATCTGCGGTCTCCCAGCACTATTTGATGAATTTTTTCGATCATATCTGGAGTTGTGACCTCAACGGGGCGTCCTGAGCGAGGCCCATCAGAGGTGCTCACACGACCCTTTTTAAACTCGGAAACCCACTGCTTAACGGTTGAATATGACGGGGAGGATGTCCCCAGTGTTGAGTCCATCTCTTTTTTAATTTCCTTCGGCGTTAACCCCTTCAAATAAAAGTATTTGATGACAGCACGATTTTCCTGCTTTTCCATTTTTACGAAAACCACAGAGGCGTCTTGTTCAGCGTGCTGTCAAACCTACACTAGCAAGGAGATCGGGCTGAAACTATAGCTACAAGCTATCCAAGGATGGTACTATAGAATGTCACCTCAAGGTAGGCCTAGTGGCGTCATCTCTTGGTTAGGCCGGAAACTTATCAATCCACCCTCGTATATCACCACTTCGCGAGGGATGAATCGTAGTTTAAATGGTTGAAAACTTACGAGCGCCATTATAATACACGCACTTATATCACTATTTTATTGATTCTGGCCTTATAACGCTCTTGATCAAGGGGCGCTCGTAAAACTGATTACACCATTAGATTCTACACAATTTTTAGACTTATATCACCATTTTGCGAGGGATGAATCGTCGTTTTAATGGTTGAAAACTTACGAGCGACATTATAATATACGTACTTATATCACCGTTTTACTGATTTCGACTCTATAACGCCCTTGATCAAGGGGCGCTCGTAAAACTGATTACACCATTAGATTCTACACAATTTTTAGACATATATCACCACTTCGCGAGGGATGAGTCGTCGTTTTAGTGGTTGAAAACTTACGAGCGACATTATAATTCACGTACTTATATCACCGTTTTATTGATTTCGACTCTATAACTCCCTTAATCAAGGGGCGCTCGTAAAACTGATTACACCATTAGACTCTACACAATTTTTAGACATATGTCCCCATTTTGCGAGGGATGAATCGTCGTTTAAATGGTTGAAAATTTACGAGCGACATTATAATTCACGTACTTATATCACCGTTTTATTGATTTCGACTCTATAACTCCCTTAATCAATAGGCGCTCATAAAACTGCTTGCACCAATCAATTCTACATAATTTTTTAAATAAGTATCACCAATTAAGGGATGATGAATCCTCGTTTTAAACATTGAAAAATTGGAAGCGTCTTTATAATACAGATTATATTTATTTTAATATTTCATTAATTCCGGCTCTTTAACGTTTAATTCAACAAAATTTTTATAAAAAAAAAAACAAAAATAGAATTCAGGGTATTTATTTGATACTTTTTTACACAGCTTCTTCAATTTGTAATCCTAACTTAAGTAAATTAATGCTATGTATAGAATGTAAACCAAGAATATTGGGATTATCTCTTAATGTATCATATAATAATTGTACAGTCAATGTATTATCAGAATTATTATTATGTCCACAGGAATAAGCAAATGCGGTTTGTTGTTCCACATTTTCCAAAGAAGCAACACGTGATGGTATAAAACAATCTTCTTCATTAGAAACTTCAACCTTTGATTCTTGAGTGCTATCAATAATATTGTTTGTATTCCTAACAAGGGGATCTGGCACTGGCATTTCAAATCCATACTGGAGCTTTCCATCCCTAATTTTGTACCCTTTTTTTCTTGATATCATTGCAGTAATGATATTTTTAACAAATATCTGCAAAGAGTAAACCTTATTAATAACCAAAATTCATGAAAAGATCCTGATGAAATTACCTGACAAGCTTGTATCATCATTTCAGCAACTCCTTCTTCGACTCCATGCAACTCATTCTCCCAGGCATTTATGTTAATCCTCATTGCAATAAAACTGCTGTCTGGTAAGAATAGTTCTGAGGCAGCTGATCGATTCTCGAAATCTGCAGGAGGCATTGTAGCAGGACTGGAAGGAGGTACATTCTCTGCCATTTCAAAACTGCCTCCATCAGAAGAATTTTCTTGAATTTCTTTAAAACTTGAATTATTGACCTTCTTAAATAATGCAATCATGAGGGCGTTATGGTTTCTTATCTGCTCTTTAGTGGTCAAAAGACTTCTCACAACACTATCAAACTGTGTTTTAGTGATTGAACCGCTAAACAGAAACCATTTTTTGAGCAATGAAAAGTACTGTTTTTTTAATTCTTCAGTCATGGAAAGCTCCAAATTCCGCTTGGTTTCGTATAAAGTACTCATGGTTTCGTATTTATTACTATTTTAGAAGCAATTTACTTACATTGTACTTATTTTCTTTTCAGGCATATTTGTGGTTAGGTTTTCCTTGTAAACTGTTTGTAAACAAACTGATGGAAGTGGATTGATACACGTTAATAATGCAAATCCAAAAATGTTTAATTCTACTGTAAACCTGTTCTTTATCTCCGAAAGAAAGGATAGTTGTACCTATAATGAGGTTTATGAATTTATGAAATTCAAAATCATTTTTTATTCCAGATAATATTGATTTAGATGTCGTTGGAGATTAAGTAGACACAGCCAAGCAACTTCAAAGAAAAAGAAGAAGATATTAACAGAACCTTAAAATATGCGTCTAACTCGATTTTTAAATTAAATGAAATATAAATAAATAAATTACAATGACAACTTTATGGTCTGCTGTAAGAAAAAGGCATGTGTTTCAAGTTTTACTACTTCCTTTTTATACATTCGCTTATTTTTTTTAGTTCCCTGAATTTGTCCCATTCCAACGTTTACTTTACAAACTGGTTTGTGGTTCGTTTATATTCATCTAAAATAAACATACCGAAACGAATTCAAAGAGGGCCCACTGATATCCTGAGGGCATTAGAAAGCACAATTGAAAGAGACCCTACTGCTGCTCATTATAAGTATCATGATGACCCTTACCTCATTCCCAGAGTTAATTATACAAAAAGAATGTTTGCAATGGCCCAAGAGTCAGGTAGGAAAACTGCCCATTGGATTAAGGAGCAACATCCTGAATTGTTCCAACACAGAGAAGCAGATCCTTTTATTCAAAGCTTTGCTCCTACAATAAAATTTACTCCAGACAGCAAAGTCGCTGAGGAGGATCTAAAACATGCTATTGAAGATACACATGTGTCTGATGCCTCCTTAATTTATAAATTGTTAAAGAAAATGGGTGCTGAAATTAATAATGACACCCAATTAAATTTACTGGAATTATTATGTTTCTACAATGGAGATGATGCCATGTCTGATGAATTTATAGAAGAAAAATGGTTCAAACAGACCTCAAAGGAAGTCAGAGAACAATTTAAAAAGACTTGGAAGTAAATAAATAGTTCACTCTAACATTTTAAAGCTTATTTTATGTGTAACATTCTAAATTTTAATTTATTCTGTAGAGATGGAGGACTTGCTGAGGAGGTGTTTATCAGTATAGAAAACCCACCTGCTGAAGCATATAGTGCAATTATTCAAGGAATGGCAAAATATTATCAGGCAGACCGTGCCTTTGAACTGTTTGAAGAGGCCAAAGGGAAAGGACACATTCTCAACACTGATGTTTATAACTCGATTATAAGAATTAGTCCCATTCTTAAGGAAGGATATGATCTCAGATGGAGTTTTGTAGTTGACCTACTAAATCAGATGTCCAAAGCAAAACTTAAACCCAACTTGGGCACCCTCAATGCTGTCTTGAGGGTACTTAGCACCATGGGAGGAGGAAAATTGGTTAAGGAAAATGTGCTAAAAACTTTAGCAGAATTTAAAAACCTTGGGGTGGAGCCATCCTTGGCTTCATGGTACTATGTACTGATTGCATTTTGCAAAGATAGTAAGTCAGTATGCAATTATAAGAATTTTATGAATTTTTAATGTCTAAATTTCGTGTAGGAGGGCCCAAAAGTGGAGTTCTATTCGAAATACTGAAAGAAATCGAAAACAAAGAGTTCACTGCTCGTGACATTTATGATACCTACTTTTTCGTAACGGCAATGGAAATTTGCAGATACCATCTTCACAGTAAAGACGCCGCAGAAAGGGTTCACAATGTTCTAATGTTTAAAGATAATTACAATCTTATAGGAGACAGCTACAAGGAATCCATTTATTAGTAAATGACCTTAACAAATTTTTTTATGTTCAAAATTAATGACTCATAAAAAATTTTTTTTTAGTCGTCACTACACTTCAATTCTGTGTTCTCAAATGCCAATTGAAGAATTCATGAGCATAGTTTACTCCATTATCGTTCCTAACATTTATATACCTGAACCCAGTGTAGTAAAAGAGATTTTGGACAGCGTCGAAGCCACTGGTTCCATTGAATTTCTGCCTAAACTTTGGCAGGATATTGTCTCATTTGATTACATACGAAGGAATATAATTATTGAGACTGTCCCAGCAATTATGGCAAACAATGAACCTCCAGAAGGTTCAGAATTACATGAGCAATTTGCTATCATTGCTAGAGACATTATCCAAAGACTAGAAGCTTTATCACAAGATGAAAGAACAAAAATAAGGTATATACTAGTATGCATATTTTAATTAACAGATTGTTTAGGTGACACTGCAATTTTTATCCTTTTTTCTACAGTTTGTCTGGTGAAATGTTTGGAAACTTAATTAGAGTGTTATTAAGGGACAACGATTTTAATAGCGCCTGTACGGTTTTACAAAAATTAATGAAGGGACAAATTGAAGTCCTTGGAGTACCAAAAATAGAGGATTTACAATTATTTATAGAACACTGTGAAAAAAATAAAGCTCCGACAAAAGCGATTGTGAGTTATTCACGTCACCACAACACTTAAATCGTTTTTAATTTGTTTTTAACTTTTCCAGGACTGTGTTCAATATGCTGCTGACAGTGGGCACATTGGTTATGAAGAACTGGCATCCAAAATAATTAAGTTATTCACTCTTGATGAAAATCATTTAAACAAGCTTTCAAAAATAGTTGGACCTGATATTCTACATCAGCAGGAAAGTGTTAGTTGTTAATACATTTTATATTAATTTTTTGTTTGTTTTTTTTATATTAGTATTACATAAAAAAGTCTTTTAACTTCTTCAAAGTTTAATATTATTTCCATTGAACATACATTCTTCGTGATAGTTGAGGATGAATTTTTTCGATTAGTGTTCCATTACAACAATATCCTCTACTTACCTTCCTTGAAATATTTGTATGATAACTGATTTTTATTTTATGAACTACTTGGGGTTATGAAGTACCAGATAATAACTACGTTTTTATTGAAATACCATTTACAATAATATATTTATTGACTTTGTTTATAGTAGTAATTCACAATTTAAGAGCTTATTACTAAACAACAAGGTTTTATAAAACTATTAAAAAGACGACATGCCGCAGAACAAATTTTTAAACTACAAAGCGGATATTATAGCGCCTATCGTCCGGTCCACTACGCCACTTCTCAAGTTTTTACCAAATAGATCGTAAAAAAACTTGGATAACAAAAAAAAACATGATTACAATTTTCGTATAATAGTAAACAAATGCAAAAAAATGAGCAATCAGAATCACTTAACTGAATGACTTGACGTCAAAGTAAAAATAAAGAAACAATAACAAGCTTATTAATACTATATCTACTAAAATAAAAAAAATCAAATGAAAACAACTTGAAACTATAATAGTTAAAGTAAAAAAAATCACAATTGGTCATCAATTCATATTGCCTTTTCACACTGTGCAAGCTCTGCAATCTACATTTTACTTTTATCAAACTTTTCACTCATATGCATCTACTACAACACTTTAAATTATCATAAAAATTAATACAAGAGCACCAGAGCAGAAAGCTGTTAATTAACAAACAAAATATTATAATAGCCTTATTTGTATTTAAAATGTTTTAACAGCACCTGCATTAACAGTAATTGTACAGTTACAGAAAAATGAGCAATTTGATAATGCTTATTACAGGAATGTTAACTGATTGTCAATATAACGAGTTTAAAAAAGGTATTTACAAAAACCATAACTTTTATAAAAAAATGTTAAATTTTTGATAGATTAGTTAAAAAAAAAACTAAATTTTGATATGAACTTTATATTGCTGTGAACTTTCTGCTCCTGTATGTCATTAATACAAGAATGGATAGACAGGGACACAATTTTATTTTATTGTAATGGAAAAAGGCACGTCTTTTTTAAAGCACTCACCACATTGTATTTGGAACGTTCAACAGAAAACAACTGTCTAAGTACAACATTATTATATAAACAGATACGTACTTTATATGAGAATGAAAATTAAAGCGAATTTGCCCTTTTTAAAACCTTCAAAACCAAAATTTAAACAAATAAATATAGAGACAACAAATACAACTGTTTTTCAGGCTTTAGTTAGCAAAATAAAAAGTTTTGATGAAGTCCAAATAATAACATCATGTTCGTTTCAATACAAAAATATTTAATCAAGTTTGAAAAGAACTTAAGTGAAACTATATTAATTCAATTTTGTCTCTATACTTACTTTTTTCTTTTAAAATAATCACAATTACAAAATGCGTCAACATTATACATCAGTTTGGGCAGATAAAATAAAGTAATTCTTTAAACATTTCTGCGTTTAGTACTGTTTGCTCTTATATAACAACTATGTGACTACATTATTGTAATAATTAAAGTCTTTTTATATATAAATGTAAGTATATATACTGACGCTACAGTGGTCGCGAGGGGGTAGTAAAAATAACAACTAATTTGGCAAACGTGGCGTGATTTTCATTTCATTTAGTTTTGGCCCTTTGTACGTTTGTTGTGAGTTATCTTTGCACTTTACGTTTAACGATAATACGATTGTAACATATTAATTATTACATATACATATTAACAATCATGAACAGCTGGGTGCTTGCAATTACGATATTTAGAACCATTGCTAATTTTGCTAATATGATATATTTACTAAAACATTTAAGTACACATTGCCTTGATAAAAATACGCAGGGGGCAATATTATTTATTCATTACAATGTAAGCAATTAAGAAATATATTCAAAAACTAGGGTTGATGAGAGTATGAAAATGGCTTCTATAACAAAACTTTTTATTAATTTTTTATTGTTCCTTATTCTAATAATCCATAAAATTTAGAATCGTCCTCAATTATTTTGTTGTTCAAATTTGGTCATTTTTAGTATTTTCGTCATTTTTTGCCAGTTTCTGAAATACATACTTATAAGAAAAAAATTAGTATCTCGTTTCGCTCATTATAAATAATTACATCGATAGTAATCGGGAAATACAAAATATTGTCGAAAATATGACACAAGTTCCTATTAACTATTAGACCGATCCTATTAGTTATGAATTGTTAGAATAAGTATAAGAAAAATTAATAAACAATTTTTTATAAAACTTATCGAATTCACTGGCCTTTTCACACTTTAGCAACTTAAGAGTCATTTGTTGATAAAAGCCTTAAATCCAGAAGCATCATAAGTGACCCAATGGATCTATCAGGATAATATGAGAAAAAGTGTGCTCAAAATAGTAATGTCCTTTTAAAGGTACACTTTACCATATTATTCTGCTAGGTCTTTAAATTTTCGCCCAATTTTGACAATCTAAAAACAATTAACAAATTATAATCAATTTTCTACGACATTTGTCTCCTTAAAAACCCTTTGCACAGCTACGTTCGTTGATAAATACGTATTTTTATCCTTATTCTCTAAGTACACATTTTATTCTTACTTATTTTGCAATAACATTCAACAAGAGCAAGCTTATCGACAAATTTCGTTGTCATTAGACAGTAGTTAATAATGAAACCTTTTCTTCTTCCTTATCCTCTTTATTAGCGGCATTTCCAATAGAATTTTGACCTGTTGAACCGCTTACCTCGTCCTCTGTTAACTTCTTAAAGGGTCCATTCATACCCCGAGGGGGACTTAACTGATTCGACGAAGACACCAGCTTTGATCCTGATTGAGGTGATAACATTTTAGGTGTTCCAGTTTTAGACGTTCCTATACTTGAACGGTGGGACTGAATTTGATGTACGTCAGGGGATCTACGACCAGTGCTGATGTCGTCCTCAAAAGCATGAAGCAACTAAAAGGAAAAAACAATATTTATCATAATGATTTTCATCCACATAAAACGAAGGAATTAATTAATAAAAAAATAGGACCATGGTAGAAACAGTTTAGATGTAGTCCCACTTTCACCCCCGGTGAGTTGCACTTATTTTCTTCGTTAATTCAGAACAATAACTCAAATAATTGTTCCAGGTTTAACTGCTGAATGCCAGCCCATTGCTGTCAATTCCAAAATGCTTTAGGATGGTTCACGTAAGTCAAAAGAAATTAATTACAATTTCCGTAAAATCATAAAGAAATTCAATCTTTTTATGCCTTAAAGATGTTGATAAGATAATTCTGTACTTAATTTTACCATACATATTATGTAATGTAATCACTGCAAACGTTTCAAGTGGTGCCTACATACATGTTTAGTTTCAAAAAAAATTTAATACTTAACAAACTTTTTTGTCATGGAATCAGTAGTTTAAACTTATCAAATCAGTTTATCAATTAAATATAATATGGTGAAATTTGGTTTAATCAGAACAGAATCATATTCTTATGCATTTATTCATTATGCCCCAATAATTAACTATCATTATGTAGGAGGTACTATTTAGAATTAAAAGTGAAAGTTATTTGTATATGTATCGATGTAATTACTGATTCATCATCTAATTGCGTAAAAAACCGCAGACGGGTTACCTTGAATTCGACTCAGTAATTCCCTAAGTGAAAAAGTATTAACTAAATATACAGCGATGAAACTAATCGGAATTAAATTTTGTGTGGTTTAATGCTCCAATAATAAACCATTACCTTCAATAAACTTATACATATAAGTATAATCAACTTAAATGTAAATATTTGGGGACAATTAAGAAATTAGAAATTGTACAACCCGGAAGTAAATAAAAAAGCTACTCACTTTTTCAACTTCGTCGTCAAATTGATCTCCACTTGCTGTCGAGTCCTTCTGGGATCGCTCCATAAGAGTGGCTCTCTTTGCGGCTAAGTACAAACTGCGCCTTACTTTCATATAAAGGACTTCCGTACAGGCTCTCACAGAATAATCGGGCTGGAATGTAGCCTTTATTAAGGCATCCATGTTGAGAGACTGGAGACTGCCAGTGGGACCGCTTGAAGGCGATTCAGCTAAAACAAAAGACAAATTATTTTTCGGGTTTCCTCTTTTTCCCAAACAGATACAATTCAAATAATTACTAATTATTTAAATCAGTCAAACTACTAAGAAATCGCTCAATTCCAAAAAAATTAGTAGTAAGTTTTTTTAAGTAGTTTCAAAATAAGTTAACAAAAGTTGAGAAGAACTTACCGATTCCCACATTTTGCATAAGGGCCTGTGTCCCAAAAAATGTGAAAGGACCACTTTCGAAAACCAAATTTTCACGACCCACCGTGACTTCGACTCTCCCTTCCAAAATTAACACAAAATAATCCACTGGTTTACCTTGTTGATAGATTAATGTCAGTGGATCGTTTCTCCAATCTTTACTTTTCTTGACATTATGGTAGATATCTTGCTTTAAAAGGCGTAATAAAATTGTTTCTGATATGCTATCCGATTTGAATGGACCGACGCCTAAAACAGAACAAGAAAATATTAAATCGACATTTTAAGTTTACTAAATAAGAGTGCGGAACGACTGGCGTGGGTAACTAAAACGCGCGCCATATATAATAATGAAAAAGGGTATTCCTTACTTGTACTGAGGTATTGAAATGCTGCTAACGTTAACTGGGGGCTAATCCGGACTTTATTACTTTCACCCTTTTTCTCTGCAAACACACTAAAATCTTGTTTCGATCTATCTGCATTTCTTCTTCGTTTTGATCTGTTGTCGGCTAAAAATTAAATTGCAAATTAACAATAAGAACAGTTTCATTATTCACAAAAAAAAACTTACTAAATACATCTGTTTCGTCCATAATTTCGGCTTGAATTAATTCTTCAATGACATCTTCGAGTGTTATGAGACCCACGGTTTCGTAGAAAGGATCACCTTCCCCTTCGTTATTAACACGCTGTACGAAAGCCATGTGTCCTTTGTTACCTAAAGGAAATTGTATTCGGAATCATTTTCATTTTATGTAACGTAATTAAAAATTAAATTAAAAGAAAAGAAAAGGGGAAGCAAACGTGGACATTAACAGTTTCATAGATTTTACCTTCTTTGAATATCTTAAACATGACATCTAAGGTGGTGTCTTCGAAAACAAAATTGCATGGATTTTGATAGAATTGGCACAAGGTTTTTAGGGGTGTGTTGTCGTCAGGGTCAACAAAGGCCAAATCTTTAATATAGAGCATAGTCACGATATTGTTACGGCTTCCTTCGTATACGGGTACTCGAGAAAATCCTGAAAGGAAAATCGAATCCTTAAAATAATTAACTGTGCGTATTTATATATATATAAAAAAAGGAAAATGTTTGTATAATTCATAAAGCACAATTCGCATTAAATTACACAGATAGTTCACGATAAATTTGACAAAATGTTGAGAATCCTTTTTATAATTAATATTACAAAATTTATAGCAATATTAATATTTATTTGGAATCAAATTCCATTTTGATAAAGTACAAGGTAACTTTTCATCTCATCATCAATCATTATTAAAAAAAATTATGAAATAGTGATAAAATAGCGAGCGTGAGATTTGCGAGCATGTAAAATACGATACGGTGATTATGGCGTTGTTTTAAAAACCTATTTTTGTACCAATGTAAGAAACGAGCCGAAGAAAATAAATTCATGCTAAACAAAGCAGTTTATATTTAGCTGAAAATAGATTTTCTGACCTTCTTAGATTTGCTTCATTATTAAAATGCGGAAGATATCTATCAAAAGTCTTACGTTGCAAGCCATTTTTACATAATAATGACGATTTTCCGCAAAATTTTCCTGTGAATAAGTACAACGTCCACAAATGAATGAACATTTATACGTAAATGATAAACAAAGATAGGGACTTCATCAATTTAAAAATATTATTAATTTTTTTTTTAATTTTCAATCCCACTACGAACTACTTCAAGTTTATGAGGGAAAAATTCCTGGGTTCGATTCCCGGCAAGGGTGTGACAACAGCAACAATTTTTTTTCTCATTAACTTGAGGTAGTTTGTAGTGGGATTGAAAACTAAAAATAAATTTTCACATTAACATTTGATATTAACTCCTATTAATTGTCAAAATGTTTCATATTTATAGTATTATTATTAAGTCTTTAAAAAGCCAGTGATCAATAAATTTTTTACCTGATTTCATTATTTCCGATACCGTTTCGAAATCCAAAACGGCTTCATAATCCAACATGAAAACGTCTTCTATTTTTGTCATCACGTCTGCCACGGTCTTCTTTCGAAGTTCCAGGGCACCGCTAATTATGTTCACCTCATCCCTGTCTAGATCATTTTTACCAGTAGTGACTTGTAACTGGAATCAAAAAGATTCATTATTTAATAAAATATTTTTTACGTTTCTTTAATTGCTTTGCATCCAATTTCATTTATTAGTATCCCAGAGGGTGAATGTCCTAACACTATATGTTTCCTTTTCTGAAAAAAAAACTTACAAGTCTTATCTAATACTAAATGAAAATCAAATCGCTCAAATTTTCGTCAGAAATCGGTCAGATTTTGGTCTAAAATAATTAATTTTCAGTCCTTTTCTACAGCAGCGGGCAAATTTTTAATGCTTTTCTTAGTCAACTTTTTCGAAAATTTTTGTTTATATTAAGTCCCATGTCCCATTCTAGGTAATTTTTTTGTGTAAATAAAAAAGCCTTCATTACTAATTTAAGCAGACTATAATCCAAAATTGGTAAAAGATGCTTAACTTTTAATTATTAGGATATAAAATAATGTAAGGATTAGGTATGTCTCGCCGTTTTTGGCAACCTGCTTCATTAATGTTACGTAAATTGAGATTATTTTAAGAATAAAATGATGCAGTGCATACGCAACCAGAGCTATAGACAGTTTTAATAGATACACCATTACGTTTCTCACACTGCGTAAGCAATTTTATTATTAAAATGAATAGTTATCATGTCCAGGTGAAAACATTTACGATCCAATATGATGTTATGATTTCTAATAATTAAAAAACGTTTTTATTAAGTCGAACTGCCACAAATCTTTTAAAAGTTACAAGAAAACAGTCAAAACTAAATAAAGTAAAAGTTTAGTTTTAAACTGTTTATTTTCATGTGTCAGAAAATGCCTTTCATCCTATCTATCCTTTTCCTTATTGACTTCAGTTCTATTTTTTTAATACCCCCCCCCCTCGTCACTCCTAACTGGTATTTGCATCATCCGCCTATAACTCCACATCTAAAATGATTCTAATCTTTGTTTTCCTCCACTTTAAGTACAATTTTGTTGTGATTTTACGATAAAAGATGTTTAAATGGATTCGTTCCAACCATCAGGATAATTTTTAGCTTCAAATAAAAAAGTGATTGCAGATTCTGTTACAACATTTAAATCGCTGAGTTTGTTTATCAAAGTTAATGAGCTATAAAACAGAACAAATATAAACTTTTGATATCATCAGTGTGTCAGTAGATCTGCCTACATTTGTCGGAACTTTTATTTTTTGATTTTCTCTGCGCAGTTTATTTAAACTAAGTAAATTTCTTTTTGCCGAAAGCTTACTTAAACATAGAAAAATATGTATTCTAGTTTGCTTATTTATTTATAAAAATCAACGAAGTATTTATTCTAGTTTGCTTGTATTTATAATACATACGTATATTAATAATTTTTTCGTTTTCTTTTGCTTCAAATATTTTAATCCAAAATCGTTCGTGTGAACAGTTTGAGAAATTCAGTAAAACTTCTCTCTTTCAGATACGATAACAAAAAAAATTAATTACATTATAGACGATAATCGGATCATCATAGTAAATATGTATTTAATAACACTCGTTGACATAATTTATGTATACTATTCAATTACAATCTGTCGCATTTCTGACCCAGTTATATCTGTGTGTAATAATGTTGTCCTTTGCGTACAGAAATAATAGTGACTATAAACTTCAGTTATGATACAATTAGCAGATTATAACGCGTACAAACAGATTCGTTCTTAAAAGTTAAAATTGCCAATAAAATAATTTTACAACTCACTTTGTAAACGGTTAAAGTGGGGTTTTCATTCAAACGAATTGTTTTAATGGTACCCTTTGTTATACAACTTTACTTGAACAATTTAATTTGTTAATACTTTACACGACATAGGATAGATACAAAGCTTAATTAGGGATTTTCAATTGACGTTGCTATCTATAATATTATCGTACTTAAATTACAATTTACATTGAAGCTAAAAACTTCAACCTTTGGTAATTTCAATTTTTAATATATTTGAATATTAAAATCACGATTGCTTATTTAAAATATTGATTACCTAACAATTATAAACGTTAAAACGATCATGATCCTTTAAGAATTAAAAGTAATAGCAATAGATATGGCATAAACTTGAGTAAAATCTACCACCGCCTACAAAAAGTCGGAAAAATAATGAAATGTTTGAAATTTAAAGAAAAACTAACCTAAGGCAATCCTTAACCGTTAATAATTCTATATAGTTCAATGTACCATCATATAAATTGCTACTGATATACCACACAGTAACAGACGACTAGTTATTCCCTAGCTTTGAAGCTATTTCAACCAAGGTTGAAGTATTCTCGAAGTATATCAGAAATAACTGCAACTGATATTCAAATTACTACATAAACGAAGCAACTCCAATCTGTAAACTATGTAAAATAATAAATTTAGTACTTTATCCCATCAGGTCTGAATCAGTATTAATTATTTCGAGAGAATTAATTAGACCATTTATGTTTCATTTCTTCCTTTTTATTACACAGATTACTCTAGTTTCCGAAGTATGCTATCATCATAATCATAAGGTCGTCAGTCTTAAGACTGGTTGGACACGTACCTCTACTCTTTCCTATCCTGAACTAAACTTCGCATTTCCCTAAAACTAGAACAGCCCACATCCTTAACTATTTGCGAACAGTAATCTAATCTAGATCTACCTCTACCCCTCCTAACTCCTGTATCTGCCTCTAATATGTCTCTGACTAGACCTTCATGCCTAAGAAGGTGTCCTACCAACCTATCTCGCCTATTTTTTATTGACTTCAATAGAGTCCTCTGTTCTCCTATTCTTTCCAATACCTCTTCATTTCTAACCTTTTCTACCCACGATATCCTCATCATCCGCCTATAACACCACATTTCGAACGCTTCTAACCTTTTCTTTTCCGCCGCTCCCACTGTCCATGTTTCGCACTCGTACAATGCCGTGCTCCAACTTTAACAACCTTTTTCGAATTTCTAAATTAACCGTTCGCGAGCATAGAAGTGACTTCTTTTTATTAAAGGCGACACGACCCTGCGCTATCCTCTGCTTTATATCCCTACTACTCCTTCCATCCTGACTTATCTAACTTCCTAGGTATCTAAAATCAGCCATAAAGTATGCTATAGGAAATAATTTTTCCTATTTTGGTTAGTGTCAAACCAGTATTCAAACTAAATGCCTTTCGATAATGATGATGATATATCTAATATTGTTTTTGGAGCGACTTAGGTTATAAAATTGTAGTTAATTTTTTTTTTAACTCTTTTGACACCGCCTAATTATATTTTCAATCCGATCCGGAAAGTGGAAATTTGGTGGAAAGCCAGTACTTTTCCTCTTACGAAATTAATAACGTTCAAAGTCAATGTGTATATTAATATCTTATATATAATTACTACGTTTTGATGCATCACATTCATCGAAAATTAAAAGAAAATTTTTAAAAACTTTACATTGAGATTTTCAAGTTTCAGAAGTGTAGAAAGACATACAAAAATTACGTGAAAAGTGCTTTTCTTTGTAAAAGAAGAAATCTTGCTAGTCTTACATTACAAAAAAAGCGAGGAAAATAGGGAAATCTTTTAAACAGATTACGACCCACACATTTGCAATGAAACGGAAATATTAATAAATTGACAAATTAACATCGTAGAAGCAAGTTGTTATTATGCATTTAACACATTAAACCAATTAGTTGAATGTGAAGATCTAGATATTTGATTAACAAGCATAAACTCAATTGAATTTAATCGCAATAACCCAAAGATTTATATCGATAGTCAGCACAATTTGCGATAAAATTTACAATTTTATTACTTTCAACACATTTTTGTTCCTCCGTTAATAAACGATAAAGAAAAACAATACGCATTATTACACTCGTTTTGTTGTTATATCGTTTGGTTATTTTTCTACACAACAATAATTATTTTATTATTTGTAAAATTGTTTCCCAAACATTTTAGTCATTTTAAAATTAAGTAATCATTTCCAAATCGGCCACATATATTCTAAACAAAACAGTTTACTACAACCACAAGTATCTTTCTACCTTCTACATGAAGCAATCGTATTAATTGTAACATTGTAAATACATATGTGTATATATGTGAATGCACCTTATCACAATATGACATATTGCTTTAAAACTGATAAGTTAATCAGAAATTACAACCATTATTTCTCAAGTCTTTTACTAGAAATACAACAAATAAAACAATCACGACATGACATGAGACCAGAACAGAAATTTATCGTTATAAAAAGTGAAAATTTAAAAACTGGACCTTTTTGTTTTTTTACAACTTCATTTAACAATAAATAGAAACAAAACTACATTATAATCATGATAAATTGATTGGAGCAGTATTTTTCTCCTCAACGAAATAGATCGCAACATGCACATGGACAATCCTCCTAAATACATCACGTATAAATCTAGAAATAAATCTCAATAAAATGTAAACTATATTTATAAAGACTCTTTAATTTTGTCAGTTAGTAGGCACCTATGTATATATATTAAGTAGTGGCGTTTTATTGGAAAAGTGTGAAATTGTGTGGGAAGAATTCGTCTGCGAGACGCACACGTAATAAACGAAATGCAAACTATTGTCGGGAAATATAAAAATAAATTTTTTTGAAAGCAGATTATGAAAGTGTTGCATGCTTCTAAATTTTTTGGCAACGATCGCAGACGATATAGCGTGCGTCAAAACGGAAAATCGGCCAGCCAACGAACAAACAGTTACTCATTCAACAAGAGGCAGCGGAAAATCTTAGAATTCGTAAAACGATCAGACAATCCAACCAAAACGGAACTGCTAAACAGATAAAGGATCCCGCTAGATCCTTGTCGAAAATGGCTCTCTGTGAATCTCTTTGAAACTTTAGACTCTGGTAGTCCTCCGCGTGTAGATGAAAATTTTTTGAGATATGGTCCCTTAAAGTTGCATGAAAATGGACTTCTTATTACCTAACTTCACTTATTACCTAACTAAAAGAAACACTAACTTTTAAGAAATGTCTATATTACGTGTTTCTTT